TCAATATTGTAAAAAAAATCATGGAAAAATATTTAAAAATTCACTAAATGTTTGATTTTTTAATTATGAAAATAGTATTATGAAAGTATTTAAGACCAAAATAAGAACATTTGTAATTGAGAGTTGAGGACCAAAATAGTCAACAAAATTCAGTACGTGGCGTTTGGTGCAGAGTTCCTCCGCCAATCATGCATTTCAGCAACAACCATCTATTTTAAATTTAAATTTAAATAGTTTTGTCCCTTCCCGCACCACGTTCCTCTGTTTTCTTCTCTTCTCTCCTTTTTCTGCAAAATTGGACTTTTATTAGGATTAAAAGATATTTTTCCTCTCTACTATAATTAAATTATCAATTTTGTACCCGCAATTAATTGACCTAACAGAAACAGAAACATACATCAATTTCTTCGAGTAAGATTAGAAATTCAAATCATAGCATTGTAAATAGATCTAATTGAGTTGAAAAGATTGTTTTTACACTAAATTTTTATAAAATTTTGATCTAAAATAATTAATTAATAGATAAAAAAATTTTGCCTCCGACGCCATACAAAGGAATCGATTTCTTCTCTCTCTAATAAAGCCAAGTCTGACTATCAATTTTTTACCTATATATTTTTATTAGTTTAATTTGTTTTTTATCATTTCATTTGTCACTTTATCTTATTTTTATACTTTTTTTTAAATATATGCATATATATAATTTAATAAAAATAATAATAGATGTCTATAAATCTCGATCTGAAATAATTATTCAATATATTGAATATCGATGATTAAATCAAAAAATTATCGATTTTGTACTTTTATATTTTATTAGTTTAATTTATATATTATCATTTCAGTTGTGGCTTTATCTTATTCTTATAATTTTTTTCTTTTAAAAATAGTTACATGTAATAAAAACTTTAAAAATTATCAAAATAGTATAGTAAAATCAAAAAAAATATGTAAACAAAATTAAAAGTGTTAAAAATCAAAATTAATGTTTTGACTTTATATATACTTTTTAAAATCAAAATTAGTTTTTAAAAATAAATGTCATAACTCATTAAAAAAAATGAGAGGTAGGGTTAAAAATTAGCTCCAGTCACTTTTCTAACTATTAAGTTGAATTGATTTACATATAGATAAGTAATCTCAATGTTTAAAACAATTATTATTACGAAAAAGAATTTTCTGCAATGGAAACTTTCTCTGAAAACCCTAATGGTATCGTTAATCCTATACCTTATGAGAATCCTGGTGGCCGTCCACCGGAGGGATCAAGCCTCATCGGCGCAACGCCGGTACTGGAAAGACCGGGTTCTCCGTCAATTCTGATAGATCAAAGAGCTGCAAAAAAAGGAAGAAATATTGATGGACGTGTTGTTTATGATAATCCGTTGGGGATTATCGACATGGAATCTGATGGGTGCTTAAACTCCTCTAATGATGATACTCTTGTTGATGATGCTATGGTGGATATTCAACGTCTGAAAACTTCAGTGATAGGAGATTCTTCCGATCTACAAAATGTTAATAAGATCTCTTATGCCAGTATGGTTGCCGGTAATTCGAATGGGGCTGAAGGCCCGATCCCTACTAATGGATATGTTGCTGAGGATGTATTGGTGACGGAAGAAGATGTGATCATAGATCGCTCGGACTCAATTCCTATTGGTTAGATTTTCAGATAGTGATCAGATTGATTGGAGTATGCAGAATGTACTCATAGTCAGATTGCTTGGTCGAGTAATAGGGTATAAGGCTTTATTGACTCGTATTCAGGCCATTTGGAAGCCGATTGGGGAGAAACGTTTGATCGATTTGGATAACGGCTACTTTCTAGTCAGATTTGGATAAGGCTTTATTGACTCGTATCTTTTTGTCTTGTGTATGGAACGTCTTGCTCAAAGGATCCAGGTTGAAGTTTATTGTCTCCGATGACAGCCTTTTCGAACTTCAAAACGATGTCCGACTATTTCTCATCTCTTTTTTGCAGATGATAAGATCTTATTTGCAAAGGTTTTACTTGAACAACTTTCGGTTACTCGTGACATTCTCAATAATTTTTGCATGGTGTCGGGTTTAAAGGCGAGTATTACTAAGACCACTATGTTTTTCTCAAAGAATGTTCCTCTTGACTTACGTTCATATATAAGCTCTACCTTTGGTTTTGCTGAAGTCTCAGATTTAGGGAAATACTTGGGTGTTCCTTTACTCCATTCCAGAGTTAATATCGCGTCTTATGAGTATTTGGTTCAAATGGTTCAAAGGAGGTTGAGTGATTGAAAAGCGAAAACGCTCACACTTGCTGGGAGAATTACTCTCGCTAAGGCTGTTTTATCGACAATTCCTTCTTACACAATGCAAACAACAGTGCTTCCGAAACGAAATTGTGCCGAACTGGAAAAACTCATTCGTCGATTCATATGGGGGATTTCATCGGATAATAAGGGTGTCCACCTTGTTTGATGGGACGAGGTTTGCAAGCCAATTGCTCAAGGAGGTCTTGGATTTCGTTCGATGGGTACTCAGAATGAAGCATTCCTCATGAAGTTGACGTTCAACTTAATTGCTAAGAAAGAAGCTTTATGGGTTCGTTTTTTACGTGCTAAATACAAGTGTGAGAAAGGTATTCCAATAGCTCTTCGGAATGGTCATTGCTCGAGGCTTTGGAAAGGGCTTGGCATAGTTTGGAGGGATTGTACGTAGTCACTTGTGCTGGAGTATCGGCAATGGAATGAATGTTGATTTCTGGCTAGACGAGTGGGTCCCGAAATCTGGTCCCCTAATCAATTATGTACCACGACATGTTTTCCTGAGGCCTAGTGAAACACGTGTGGCTGACATGGTTGATCAAGAAGGTAATTGGCGATGAGAAAAATATCAGGAGCTGCTCCCTTTGTCAATTTTATTGTGTGTTGCTGCGTTGAATGGACCAAAAGCTTCTCTTTTGAGGGACATAGTGGGTTGGTCGGGTAGTGAAAATCGTAAATTCTCGGTTAGTTCAACATATGTTATCCGACATGGTTTATCGGAGAGTCCTGTGGATCAGCTCTGGAAGAAGGTGCATCATTTTTGGGTCTCCAACGCATTAAGATATTTATGTGGCTGGTTTGTTGTGATAAATTAATGACCAATGCAGAGCTTGTTCGGAGACACTTCACCATGAGTAGCCACAGCCCGATTTGTTCTGCAGAAGTAGAAGATATTAACCACCTTCTTCGTTTATTCCCTAGTGCTTATTCTATTTGGTCGATGTTAATAAAAAGAGAAAAGTTAGAGGAGTTCATTGATATGGATCTTCGCTGCTGGATTGCGTTGAATATAACTAGCCTACATTATTTTGCTATTGATCCCAAGGATTAGGATTTATTTTTCGGCGCAATTATTTGGAACCTTTGGTTATACAGGAATGATGTAGCTTCTGGGAACCCAATGGAGTTTGGTGGTCCTGTCCTTGGCAAAAGTCGAGAACTTTTGTTGGTGATGCAACGTGTTTTTGAAGGTCGAACTTCTATTGATTGTGGGGGATCCATGAATGGAGGTAGTCCTAATTTCTAGTCTCCTCCTCCAGTTAATTGGATCAAGCTAAATACTGATGGTGCCAGATCTGAGTTAGATGGTCGAGCGTCGTGTGGAGGGGTGTTTCGTGATCATGAAGGACGATGGCGAACTGGGTTCTCAAAATTTGTTGGGGTCTGTTCAACATTGGAGGCAGAGTTATGAGGGATATATGTTGGAATGATTTTGGCTTGGGACCTGGTCGATAATTGAATCCGATAGTAACGAGACAATTCATCTCCTACAAAATGAGTCTGTTCAGCAAGGATTTCCCACCATACTTCTCCATATTCGTGAGCTGTGTGGACAACATTGGAGCGTTAATTTTCAGCATGTGAAAAGGGACGGAAGCAAGGTCGCTGAATAAGTTGGCAAAGCTAGCCAATTCTGTGAGCTTTGGTGTTCTTCGTTTTAACAACCCTCCTCTGGAATTTGAGGAGCTGTTGCAGGCTGATTGTAGCATATAACTATATGTAATGTTGGCCTCTCATTATTTTAACAAAAAAATATGATTATTATCTTTAGAGATTTTGGTTCAAGCACGTAGTCTATGGATTTTTTAGTATTAATGATAAAAATAGTTATGAACATTTCTAATTGGTACTATTCATTGTAATCATCTTAGACTAATAAAAAAATTCAATCGAATTACAAACGATATTTTATATAATAACTTAATTAAAATTATATATAAGAGATAAAATAAATTATAATTGATTAATAAAATGATTCAAATTATTTAAATAAAAAGATGTACATTTCAAATACTAACCATTTTTTTTTAATTTGAAAATTGAAAAGTTTGAAAGTTTCTTTTACCATTTACCCAGACTTTGTTCACACTTAATTCTTTATTTTATTAGGGCGAACTAATTAATTAAACATAATTTGAAAATTTTAGACGAAGATGGTAGACAAAACACGTATTTAAGTCAAAGTTTGGATAATTTTCATTCTAAAAAAAGAAGCTAGCGATTGACCATTGTTAAAAGAAGTTACAATTTGGATTTATTGAATTGCTTGCATAATCTACTTGAAATAATAAAAAGATAAAAAAATACTTAAACAAACTCGTGGAGTAATGCAAAAATATAGGTATCAATTGGAAAATTCTTTATAAATTTCCACGGCTTGAATATTGAAGGGCTAAAGAATCAGGTGCCAAAATGAAAAATCTCCCAAAATATAAGGGGTATCCCACCAAAAATTAAAAAACTTTGTAATAGAGTAATATAAAATAAAATAAATCGTTTACGCGGGACCCACCTACACGACCAGAGTTGGGGTTGGGGGTGACACCGCGTTTTCTTTTTCGTTTCGTTTTCCAATTTGGTTTCACTTAAACTCAAACCAAACCAACACATTTTCCCTCAAACATTTGGTTTCCCTCAGATGAACTAAAAAAATTATTGTCCCACTTTTTTTTTATCAGGAAGTGAAAACCTTTGTTTTTCTTTTTGTTTGAGTGGCCAATTTAGGAAAAGTTTTCAGGCATGTGTGAGTTTAGTCGTTTCAGACACAGTTGTGTCTTATTGTTAGTGGTGTTGGGGTTAAGCGCGGGAATCAGTTACGGATTCGGTACTTTCGGGTTTTATATCCATCATAGATATTCGGATCCAGTTAAGGAATTCCTGGCCATCGATGAATTGCCGGTGAAGGAAAGTCCGGAGTATTACACCGCCATGGTCCACCGCGATAGAATAATCAAGGGCTGTCATTTGGCGATGGCGAATGATCGGACGCCCGTTACTTTCCTCGACGGAAACGAGACTTATCGATTGAACTCCTTGGGATTGTATGATTTCTTCTTTCATGGTTTTGACACTGCTTTTTCCGTTAAAGTTTTTTTTTACTGTATAAGTAATTATTTTTGATTTTGTAGTAGTTCTTGGATTGTCCGAAGTGGATTTTGTAGCGAATTTCATGCTTTTTTCCTGTTTGTTTGGCGAGAAAAAGTGGAATATCTTTCTATTTTCCATCGTTATTTAATCTCTAGATTATTTCATCTCTATTTTTATTTTTATTTTTTGGGAATTTCAGTTTGCATTACGCAAATGTATCGGTGGGGAAGCCAGCTTTGTCATTTTTGGTGGCACTCGACACCGGCAGCGATCTCTTCTGGTTGCCATGCGATTGCTCCAGTTGTGTCCAAGGCATAGGAACACCCGGTGGCCCGGTAAATCTATTTTTACCCTTTGTTTATCTTTTATATTTATTTCATTCATTTCATCAAATAAAAGAGAATATCTAAGATCCATTAATTGATTGAGTGGTTAAAAATACTCGTATGGTTCTAGTTTGTTTAGATTCAAATCTTAACATTTATCATGGAAATGTTATCTCTCTCTGCTTAATAAAAAAAAGATCTATGAGTATTACTTCCATTAATTACTCCAATTATATATGAGGTGTGCTTCACTTAAATTAGTATAAAGTTAAAATAATTTTGTATAGATTAATATTTCGATAATTTGACGGTCATATTTAATATTCTATTCACTTAAATTATGCAGGCTAAGTTTTGAGTAAATCATATATCGGTAAACGACCGTTTTTTAGATCAATATGACAAAAATGGGACTGATTTGTAGTTTTACATATATAACAAGTATATTTATATTGATAAATTTGACGTTGAATTATTAAAATATTAATTATAAGAAAAGTTATGGAAGTTATACACTTAGTGGATCCCTTATGCTCTCATTCCAGTAGTTGTGAATTCCCATGATTTATAGCTATTTTCATTGATACATGAACAGCCATTTTGATTGGTATTTTGTGTTTTAGTCGATAGAGTTCAATATCTACAGCCCTAATACATCATCTACGAGCTCAAAGGTTTCCTGTAACAGTCCCATGTGTGAACATCATAGAAGATGTTCTTCACCTTCAAATTTTTGTCCTTATCAAGTCGACTATCTATCCGATGGCACTTCATCGACGGGAGTTTTGGTGGAGGATGTCTTGCACTTAACTACAGATGATGATGAAACCAAACCTGTCGAAGCCAGGATTACTTTCGGGTTTGTAACTTTTACTTCCTTTTCCATTATGGACTGGTTTTGTAAATTCGGCAAATCTCGCTGTGCTGTTGTCGAAAATAATTCCAGTTTGTGATTTATAACTGTGATCAGCGTGATATCCACTCTTAGTCTTTACTTGATATCGATTTCTTTGTATTGTTACTTGCTGTTGGATTTATGATTTGGATGTGCTACTATTGCAGTTGCGGGAAGGTTCAGACTGGATCGTTCTTAAATGGTGCAGCTCCTAATGGTCTTTTCGGGCTTGGGCTGGACAATATATCAGTTCCAAGCATATTAGCAAACGAAAAGCTTGCTTCGAATTCTTTTTCTTTGTGTTTCGGACATGATGGGGTTGGAAGAATAACTTTTGGTGATAAGGGCAGCTCCGATCAAGGAGAATCACCACTTAATCTCATGCAATCACAGTAAGTTGTTATGTGGCTGATCGCATTGACAGTGATACGGAACTTGTTTGCCGTGCAGCCATGCCTGCAGTTTGAGATACTGTTTTCTTTTTCTTTTTTTGTTGGTTTAACTGATGCTTCTCTTCTTGATATTCTTTTTCAGCCCTTCTTACAATGTTAGCATCACTCAGATAAAAGTTGGAGGAAGTGCTGGAGATCTCGAGTTCAATGCCATTTTTGACTCGGGTACCTCATTTACATATTTGAATGACCCAGCTTATACGCTTATTTCCGAGAGTGTAAGTAGCTTATATCACATATTTCCTGTTTTTTTCTCCTGGTTTCCATTTTTTCCCGTATACCTATAATGATTATATTCGTCAGTTCAACAATTTGGCCCGAGAGAAGCGGTTTACATCTAATAATTCTTCCAACGACCTTCCCTTTGAATATTGTTATGAGCTAAGGTAATCTGTTGGTTGTGATTTATCGAAGAGGCTCTTATTTTCCTCCCCGGGAGGCCTCAGGGACTGAGTTCTTTTACCTTACAGTGCAAATCAAACGAGCTTTGAGTACCCTGTGCTGAACTTGACAATGAAAGGTGGAGATCGGTTTTTTGTCCAGGATCCGATAGTAGTGATTCACACACAGGTAAAAGTTCATCTCGATTCTATTAGATCTTTGTCATGCTTCTTGACTCGTGACGAAGTTAATCCTTGTTCATTTTTCATCTCCGGGGTGGAGGTTTATATTGCTTGGGTGTCGTGAAGAGTGACAGCGTGAATATCATCGGACGTAAGTCTCTCCGGACACAATTTACATCACGCATTTGCAAAACTTACTGTATAAATTATAATGAATCTCCTATGCAGTATCAGATTCGGGAACATGCATTCATCCTGTATCTAATAAAACACCAGACTGGTAGTGGGGTCGATCCTCATCTATGAAATCATGTAGCTGTGTTCAAACATTCCGTTTCTCGGTTTATTGAGTCCGTAAATGTTCGATTCCTTCTTACATTTCCTTTTTTGTTAATTCATATGCAGAAAATTTCATGACCGGATATCATATAGTCTTCGATCGTGAGAAGATGGTACTTGGGTGGAAAGCATCTAATTGTAAGTAAATTCTCTTGTGCAACTTTCGCATAATCTAGTTCTTCTGTTAAGATCTTATTAAACTATGAGATCCGACTGCCACAGGTTATGATATCGAGGCCTCAAACACTTTACCGGTGATACCACCATCGGCAGTCCCTCCGGCTACTGCCGTTAATCCGGAAGCCACAGCAGGAAACAGCAATAACGGTGGCGTTCCAGGGGCATCTCCACCCATGACTAATCAATCAACTCTGCTTAAAGCTTTGCCGTATGGACTCGCAATGGCTCTAATTCTATATTCGACCCTAATTTAATCATTTTAATTTTTATTTCAAGGCTCCCTACCTTGACCCTGTACCCTATTATTGATTTAGATTATAGCAGTATACACGGGCGTGTAAATATGTTTCGAGTTTCAGAGATGATTGATTATCTTTATAGCAACACTTGCACTTCAAAGTTATAAATTGGCAATTCTGCTTTGAGCTACATTCCTAAGTCTGCGCTCAATTCTTTGAAGGGTTTCGACTACATCTCTAACAAATTTGATCCCATGATTCGATATTTGAAACAATTTGAATTGAATCAAAACAGACCTCAATGATTTAATTCAAATCGAGAGTAACTTAAATCTAAATTCATCCGAATAAAAAATAATTCAAACCGAAAGTGATTTAAACGAAAGCAATTCGAACTAAATCATTTGAATCAACGTTCAGTTAGATTTAATCTGATAATCGAAATAAAGTGAGTGAATAATTTATTTTTAACAATGTGATTAATAGTAAAATGATAAATGTTTTATTCTCCTTTTGTATTATACTGGAATCGGATCCAACTCACTCTTAATAATCCTAAAGATTCAAAGGTTGACCCAAATTGAAAATTGTCCGATTTGATATTGATCCGATCCGAAAACCGATCGATTTAACCTAAAAACTAACATTTAATATTGGCTTGATCAAAAAATTAATATATCTAATACTGATCCGGACTAAAAATCGATTGTTTTGGTATTAACCCAACGGAAAAATTAACCGATTTAATTGATCCGATCATATACTCAATTCTACCCGATTACTATAGCCCTGAGCTAAATCCGAACTGAAATCAAAATAATCCGATTCAAAATGATTCGATTTGAACCCGGTTACCGCCTCAACTATCATTTACAAATGTAGAATATCTAGATAAAATTCGATGTCCACAATTCATATTGGACCGACTTTAATTATATGTTTGGGTTCAAGTTAGTAAAGAAAAACAACCCTCTATTTGGAGTTAGAAAAGAATTTTATATGATAATTTGTGACTAGTTATTTTTGAAAGTTACAGTAAACTATATATAGGGCATTTTAAAAATTGTTTATTTTACCTTTAGTTTTCTCCTATTAAAATCTGGAGTAAAACTAGGAAAATGAATTCTCAACTCCCTTCGCTTTCTCTTAACAAGTTATCCAAATAAAGGGTGAACGTTCGATCAAGTCGAATGAAAAAAATCTCAAGTTATTCAAGTTAACGGGTATTATTTTATAACTCAAACTTTACTTAAAAAATTTTCTAGCCGAGATGTTCGAGTTTCTATTTAATTGTAAATACTTATAATATTATGACACTATTTTATTCCAATGTAAATGATTTTCTATAACCATATACAATATTTATTCATATTTTTTTCATAAGTAATATACATATATCATATAGAGTTTAGGCGAATTTGAAAAACAATCAACTAATTTTTAAAAATTTCGGGCTATTCGAATTCTATTTTATAACTCGACTTGAATTTAAAAAAATTTCGAGTTGAGTCGAATTTATGAAATTACGACTCGAAATTAATCCAAGTCAAAAAGATTGATTTTTTTTAGTCGAATCGAGTTTTAATCCTCCAATCCCAACACATTATAAATGTACGTATCTTTGTTGTTAATACATACACCCAATCCGAACCTCATAATCAACACCTTGACCAACCGAAAAAAAGGGCAAAAAGATGGCCTTGATTGAGAAATTAAGAGACTTGAAAAACAAGCTTTATGTACACAAATAACTAATGTGATAGTTACACCCTAACCTCTTTCTTTTTTAACAAACGAAAATCCTTTCCCCTGTTGTTGGATCAGACGTTAGCAACAGCAGTCGATTCCGGTAATTATTGAATCAAATGTTCGAATGAATGCTCGGATTTAATTATAAAAAATGAAAGATAAATGGAGTATTTTTAACATGGATATGAAAATGACAAAGATCAGTTGCATGGGGATTTTTTGGTCGGATGAAGGATGCTTAACCAACACTACTTCATCATTCTTGCTTAAAGAAGCAATCCATTACTATATACAATGGGGCCGCCTGCTGACCTGCAGGTCATCAACGGATCCCTTTGGCTCACTATAAATATCTCATGTAATCTACAAACTTTCCCATGCAAAAGAAAAAAAAAGCTATAAGCTGCTTGTGAATCGATAAAACAAGACGAGAGGTTTTAACATGGCTCTACTTGTAGGAGTACTGACCTTAGTTGTCCTTGTGTTGGCGTCTTCTTCCCCGGCCATTGCTCTGAGCTCGAATTACTACGAGAAAACCTGCCCTGATGTCGAGTCGATAGTTGCAAAAGCTGTCCAGAGCGCCACCATGAAGGATAAAACGGTCCCTGCTGCCCTTCTTCGAATGCATTTTCATGATTGTTTTATAAGGGTAATCGATGTGGATTTTAGAGATGCCATCTTTGAAATCGGGTTTCAATATTGATTTATATATTTGGATGGCCTTCTTTTTCAGGGTTGTGATGCTTCTGTGCTGTTGTACTCGAAAGGAAACAATAAAGCGGAAAAAGATGGACCTGCAAATCTTTCTTTGCATGGATTTTATGTTATTGAGAATGCAAAGAAAGAAGTTGAAGCACAGTGTCCTGGTGTAGTTTCATGTGCAGATATTTTGGCTTTTGCTGCAAGAGATGCCGTTGTGCTAGTAAGACATTCTTTCGTGCTGATTCTGAGTTCTATCTGTTCAATTGGATATACGTATACGGTCGATCTAACGGTGTCTATATGATCAATTCATTATAGTCTGGAGGTCCTACATGGGATGTGCCTAAGGGAAGAAAAGACGGGAGAACGTCAAAGGCTAGCGAAACCATACAATTGCCAGCTCCAACCTTCGACATATCTCAACTGCAACAAAGCTTTTCTCAGCGAGGCTTATCCATGGATGACCTCGTAGCTCTTTCAGGTGACATTTTAAATGTTCTGATTCTCCAAATATTTAACTCGAAGAAAAGGAATTACGGTGTTACTTACATGTGATGCTGTTGCAGGAGGCCACACTATTGGATTTTCCCACTGTTCGTCGTTCCAGAACAGAATCCGCAACTTCAACGCAACGCATGACATAGATCCTACAATGCACCCCTCGTTCGCAGCAAGCTTAAGGAGTGTTTGCTCAATCAAAAACAAGGCGAAGAATGCAGGAGCAACTATGGATCCGTCCTCGACAACTTTTGATAACACCTACTTCAAGCTGATCCTTCAGGGCAGAACCTTGTTCTCTTCCGACCAAGCCCTGCTCACAAATCCGAAAACCAAAGGTTTGGTATACAAGTTTGCCAGCTCAAAACAAAGTTTTGAGAATGCTTTTGTAAACTCTATGATCAAAATGAGCAGCCTTAATGGAGGACAAGAGATTAGGAAAGATTGTAGGGTTGTAAACTAAGGATTTCATAGCTTAGTTCATAGATGAACTGCTACCTTTCCTCCATTCATCGTAGTCGACTAGCTAAGTAAATGTCAAGAAGAATCTATACCAGAAGAAGCACAGCTACACTACTGTAATAAATTGAGGTTTTATGGATATCTTAAGAAACTAGCTTTAGGTATCAATGGCCCTGTTTATGCTCGGGCTTATCTTTTTGTGAAAGCAACATACCGGTTTATCTCGTACTAAAGGGGTTCATATGTGAGGTTCAGAGAGTAAAACAGATAACACCTGAAAGGGAAGCACATCAAAGATCAATATATAACCAGTTCTAGCATCTTCATACCCGACACAATTCTAAAAGTCGCAAATCAAAGAAAAAGGAGGAAAAACTGAACTTAGAAAGGCCTTAACATGCAAAGCTTTTCTTCAAGGTAGAACTTACATTGATGAATACAAGCAAACTACTCCAGCCATATCTAATCGAAGAGTTGAACTGGCATATACATCAATAACTAGACTACCGAGAGCGGAACCGACAAGCTACGAGTGGCCTGAGGATTTACTCCAGTCGGCAAGCGATTTTCTAACTAATAATATGAAATATATACAAGTGAACCAAAAAGCCATCAGGCACCAGTGGAAGAAGTCTCATGCAGCAGCCAGAAGTAAGAATGCACATCAGAAAAATGGCTACATAAGAGGCTTACATCAATGTAAAGAAATTCAAATGGCCAGCAACTTCTTATGTTGTTCAGCACCTGCATAAGTGAAAAAAAAATGAATGGCAGTGGCTTAAGCAAAGTAAAGTATTGACACCAATTGTGGTAAGCAAAATTTAGGGTGATCTGATTAAGGGGTATAATCAAAATTAATTTCAATCAATATCTTTAATTTTAATGAAATTACCAAATTTCTCTTCAACACAACATCAACATTGCGAAAATTATAAAGGGAAAACATGGAATTATTGATGGCACTTTAGACAACAAATTTATTCTAAAGCTTCACCTTTTAAGAAAAATATACTACTACAGTTTTCAATATACATAAGGTGTGTTTTTTTTCCCTGAAATAGTCGCCGCTTTCATATCGGAAATCTCGTTTCCGTCTCTTCCGCCTCCACCGCCGTCTTCCTTATCTCTCATATCGCCGTCGGTTATGTTTTATTCAGACCCGGCTATTAGGGGGAGCGCCCTGAGCGAGTGGCCCCCATTTTTTCATCCTTGTAATTGAGCCCCCCATTTTTTCATCTTTATAATTAGGTCTTTAATTTTTAAATATTATTTTTCACCTTTATAATTGAGGTCCTAATATTATTCAATCTAACTTTTTATCTTTATAATTTAAATCTCTAATTTTTTTCAATCCCTTTTTCACCTTTATAATCGATGCCCCTAATTTTGTAATCTCACTTTTAACTTTATAATTTAGGCTTTTGAATTTTTTTTCAAACTCACTTTCTACCTTTTCAATTAAGGCCCTTAAATTTTTTTCAATCTCAATTTCTACCTTTATAATTGAGACCTCTAATGTTTTAATCTCACTTTTTTAGCTTTATAATTGAGACCCTTAAAATTTTTTAATCTCACTTTCTAACTTTCTAATTGAGGCCCCTAAGAATTTTCGATCTCAATTATACCTTTATAATTGAGTTCCTATTTTTTTTTCAATCTCAATTTCTATCTTTATAATTAAAACCTCTATTTTTTTTTTACAATTTCATGAAATTCTCAAATTCTCATCATTTTCTCCATCTATCTCGTTAATTCATTTAATTTTGAATTAAATCTAATTATATTTGTCCTTTTTTTCAAAATTTTTTTTAATTTATCAAATATTCTTTAATTCTTAGTCTTTTTCAATCTCAATCTAACGATAACATAATATGTTATTTTTTTTTTTTTTGAAAGAGGGTACTTTGTATTATATATCACACAAAATACACCACCCCAAAGACCCCATTAAAAAACCTCTCTAAACCTAAATGAAGCAAAAAGAGTGAACCTTGAGATGAAACAATATATAACGATCATAGGCCGTATTACATCCGGAACCAACCCTGAAAAAAAACACCTAGCATCAAACGAAAAAATGCTCTTAACTGAGCAACCACAATCTGCAAACCACCCACATAATCAGTAAAGCACTAACAATTTGAAGTCAAACCTACCACCACAACAGAAAATCTAACAAACATATTAAAGCCTGACTATACATACTAAAAGACATAACAATAACAGCAAATTCACCAACACTGGAAACCAAATATGATAGATTCAGGACAACGCACGAAATCAGAAGCTTGAGGAACTAATGATGGCCAAACGATGTGAGCCCAGATCCCAATCTGCAACGGAACCATATTGAATATCTGATCCACGGTAAATGATAAATTATTAAACCTGACTTTATCTCTGCATAACCAAATCTGCCAAATTAAACCAAAAAACTCAATTTGTCATAAATCCCTCACTTTCCTTCTAATAGACTGTGACGACCACATCGCAAGAAGAAGCTTGACGTTGTCGGGGAAAATAAAACTAACGTTCCATAACTTAAACCACCTCTGCCACACTTCCCAAACAATATTACAATGGCAAAGCATATGAATAACATCTTCCGAATGAACTTTACAGAACAAGCAAAGCAACTGATTATTATCGATAATCCCTCTCTTATTTTTTTAATTTATTATTCAGAATAAAATTCCATATCATAATTTATAGGCATATTCAATTTTTTTATTCTCTTAGTTGTATTTAAGATGTTTTTTTAATAAAATAATAAAATTAATAGTCAAAAAAGTTTAATAATTTTTCTACGATATTAAATTAATTGTTTAAAGTAATAGAGTATATTTTTCTTTAATCATAATCTATTTTTTATTTTCGCTCATGGTCCCGAAAATATTCGAGACTGCTATGTGTTTATTCAATGTCACATTGTACATTAAAGAGTGGTAAAACGCTGCGTTGTGAACGGGTCTACGCGACAAGGTATAAGATCTCGACATGAGATTAACGGTCACGATTAAGAAAGAAACGTGGTAATAATAGCCCAGGGCATGATCTTAATACACGTTGCACGCATGCAATCATTATCTTTTCTCTCCTTTATCCGTTTTTTTCCTTTTCATATTTCTACAATTTATCAGTAATTTGTTTACATTGCATACAACTCAGTTTCTCGAACCATCATCATCAACTCAGTCCTCTTCTATCTTACTCGGTTCCACAGAATCCGATGGCTTTTGCTCATTATTCGGTCGCAATTCCATTCGATATTTCAAAGCACACCAAAATATCAATTTCCCCTTCTTTTTGTTCTACTGAATCTTTATCTTTCTTAGCTTTCACTTCTTCTTCGTTTTCTTCCCCTTTTCCTCTCTTGTCTAGAGCTCGAAATCTCTCTACTTTCCCCAGAATTAATAGAGTCGGACACAAAGGTAACTTCTTTTATTATTAGTGTTGTTGGGTTTATGGAATGATTATAGCGATTTGATGAATTTTAAATTTTGATGGGAATCGAATTTTTTTTCTTCATCTTTTTCGATCAATGATGTATTGGTTTAAATTGGGCAAATTTCGTTTTAATTGTGACTGAACAGCGAAGGCTGAGCCCCAGGAATCTGAAGTGCAATTAGCAGCTGAACCATTTAGTCAATTCAAACATCTGCTTCTTCCAATAACTGACAGTAATCCTTATCTTTCTGAAGGAACGAGACAGGTTACTTTCTTAAAGACATAATATTTAAGTTGTCACAGTTTCAGAGCATCAATAATGAGTTCTTTAAAAAAAGAAATGTTTTTTTTTTCATTTAGATGCCCAATCCTTAGTTTCTTTTTGGTCGGCACTCTAAAATCTTAATTTTTTTAGCAGGCAGCTGCAACTACTGCTGCTTTGGCAAAGAAGAATGGAGCTGACATTACTGTTGTGGGTATGTGCTATGCCATATGTAAAATACCATTTTGTATGCATTATTGAAGAACATATGTGTTTAATCATGGCGATCAAAAACAACAATTTTGGATAGTGTTTGGGTGGCAATAACATCCTTGTTTAGTGTCGTTTTTATCAAAAAGTGTTTTGGACTGCTAAAGGCAACTGTAAACACACAGCCAACCTATTAGTTCTTTGTAGCCACTCTTAGAAGTGTTGTGGCAGTCAGCTGGGTCAAATTCCAGCATCCGCAACCCTTCCTTGATACCAGGTTGCTTATGTATTTAAAGCAAGACTTGAAATACTGAGAACTTTATGTATGTTCTTTGCTTGCAGTTATTGATGAAAAGCAGAAAGAGGTATTGCCGGGTCATGAAACTCAATTGGCTAGTGTTCGCTGGCATCTCTCTGAAGGTATGTAGTCTTAAATTTTAAGAAAAATCATTGCAGGAAATTAAGAATACCTAACATACTTGCTTATGCATAAATGGTCCCTTGTGCTTTTTCTTGGTCTTCTTTCCTTGAAATTCTCATCAGAAATTAGATTCAGATGGTATTTGGGACAATATGTATAACTGCGTTATTTCTGTATCATATGATATGATGCCTCGAAAGTTTTTATGATTGGTAAATAGAAGTACAGTAAGGTTGTGGGGCAATTTAGCTTATTTTAACGTTTTCTTTTGTGCCGGCTGATGGGGGGCAAAACAGGTGGATTTCAGGAATTTAAGTTGTTGGAGCGACTTGGGGAAGGAAGCAAGCCTACCGCCATCATCGGTGAAGTTGCTGATGACATGAATTTGGATCTTGTGGTGATGAGCATGGAAGCCATTCATTCCAAGCATGTAGATGCAAATCTACTGGCTGAGTTCGTCCCTTGCCCTGTCTTACTTTTACCATTGTAGGATCTTTGAAATTGAATTCAAATGTGCTGCAAATGCCAGTTTTCTCCTAGGCTTTTGTGATTTCCATTCAAGTTGTTGAAGCTATGCTAATTGATTTGGTTTAGAAGAGGATGGAAAATGACAGATTAGCACCATCCATAAATGATTGAGCTTTTAGCATAACCCGAGGTTCTCGTTGTTACTGTCATATAAGCAGTCCGTGACTGTTGTTTCTCGTATATAATTGTCTTTGCTATGTTTTAAATAAACAACAAGCTCATATAAGTAGTCTGACTTTTGTTTCCTCAACGGAATCGAGCTGTAAATAACAAGCTTTAACACACTGAGTAAACATAAAACAAGATTGTATATAAATCACCTAAAGAAAAACATGCATGGGATCATCCAAGCGATACCTTCTAAGATTGAGAGCTGACGCAGAGGGATCTTAAAGTTTGATGGCCCAGCTCTGAGTATGGTTTATCCTGACGATCCAAGGAAAGGGCCAATACAAAATATCTACCGTTTTCAATCATCACGAATCAATAAAAATCAATAGCTAATTTATATAGACATCCATAACACAATGGCCAAAACAAGGGTAAACATGCATGCACCAACCTGACCGGATTGTAAATGAATAAGAAATGAATTTGAAGTTATATTTTGTTTATTTATTTCCAATATTATTTGTATTCAGTTTGTGTTTATTTATATTTTTATGTTTGTTTTTGTTGTGTTTAATGTTTGTGGGCATATTTATTTAACGTTTATGAATATGATAGATAAGTATTTCTGTGAACATTAAATAAAACAGCATGTTCGTCAATATTTTCATGAACATATAATTAAATATGTATGTGAATAATTAAAACTTTTGTTGGTGAATAGTAAACAACTTCTCCTTTCCCCTACATGTTCTGTGACAACCCAGAACTTTATAGCTTCGCATTTATTGTTTTCTTTAAGGTTTAATTCATCCACTTTACTTCTCCATTTATTTTAGGAGAGTATAGTGATATCATTTCATGATAATATCATGTTTGTGCACAATCACTTTTTATCATCTTAATCTTTTAAGTTGGTTTTCAACTTCATATTTATTAAAAATAATTTTCTCTATAAATTCGCTTTTGTTGTTTTAGTAAATACACATAGCAATACTTTTGCTATCATTTAATGGAGGTAATAAAATATTTATTCTCCTCGTATGTGTCATTATTACGAATTTTAAGAACTTGACCTCTAAAACTTTCTTAGTGTCAATATCTTCCATTTCGTTTTTATGATCTAAAGTCATCCATAATTATTTTATTCATCTTATGGATACTATACAATTTATAATGTGTATCTGATAATAAATTCAAGATGTATTTCCAGTATAGGAAGTTAGAGTGCTTAAACCTCAAGCTCACATGCAGCCAACTAAACATCCATCTTGACGGATCTTATTCTTTTAATATTATTTTAAAATGATTATATTTATATATTTTAAATAATCTAAGGTGATTAAAAGATAATGTTTATTCAAATCTTTCTTAGTCATTGACAACGAGCACACAATCACAAACACAATTGTTTGAACTCGTGACCTATAGAGAACGACACTCTCTTTAACTACTAAGATCAATTGATGGATTCAATGATTATATAAATTTAAATATTTTTTTAATCTCTTTTTTTTATACTATGTCAATTAGAAATTAAATTTCAGTTAACCTAAAGTTATTATAGTAATTAGTATGACGTTTCCTATTTGATTGAACATCCGAATCTAGTTGGGGTGCTACACGCTACAAGAAAATAATTATAGAAGTATAAGAGAACATATTTCAGTGGTTAAGGAAACAAACAGCTAGACAAGGTCTGCATCATACTTGGTCGTTGCATGAAATAGTTTGTAGTTCCCTTAGGGACACTTCTATGACGTGTAACATACATGGAAAGGTCACCCCTTACAATTAGGCCGATAATGAGTCGAGTTAAAGTTTGATTTTTGACTCATTCATATTTTATTTAAAAATTAAATCATGTATTTGTATTTGATTTTTGAAGTAAAAATATGTATCTGCATTAGACTCATATATATAATATAATTTTTATTTTTATTAGATAATATAAGGGCCTAATAGAAAAAACAATATAAAGAGGAGTATAACTGCATTTTTTCCAAACATATAAGAGATAATTATAATATTATCTCAAATCAAGTCAGATTAAATATTTTTATCCTAAACTTGACTCGATATGATCTCATCCCTTCACAAAACCCCATTAGACTCAACTTGAACCTTATTTTTTTCAACAACAAAAAAAAACTCGAATTGTTCATATCAGGATGAATCAAAACACGTCGAATTCGAATCTAATACTCATCCCTACTTGTAATACTATAATACGAGGTGTATCTTCATAAAAACTTATTTAAACCAAAAATATATATTAAGATATATACCATATGATATCTCATAAAAAAGTGAAAGTTAAAAGAAAAGGAAATGGCATATCAACGTTATCTATATCAACTGTAAGTTTAAATATATATATATATATATATATATATATATATATAATAACATTTTCCAATCCTTGAGTTGATGGGTAATTTTCTATGAAACAAATATCAATTATATGTTGAGGAGGTTAAAAAAAGAGTAAGTTCAAAATTTTAGGGACTAATAATCGTCAATTACAACGGTCGATGATGACCGGTAACAATGGTGAGCGATAGCCGCGGACAAATATTATGATTGGATTTAGAGGTTAAATTGATATTTCATCTAAAATTTAAGGGTCAAAATGATGTTTTATATAAAATTTAGGGATTAAATTGATATATTATCTAAAATTTAGGGGTCAAACTCAATGGAACCTCCCAACGACAATGGTGGATTATAACCTCCGTGTAAAAGATCTCACCTTACCTGATGGTTTTTGGGATTGGCATACACTCTCACAACTTAGTGATCCGACTGTTTTGCCTTGTATCCAAGTCCAAGGTATTTAACTCTATTGGCCCCGATTCTTGCTATTGGAATGCAGGTTCAAATCGTGACTTCACAGTCAAGAGTGCTTATGTTCAATTATATAAAGCAAACTGGCAGGCTACCAATTCGATTTGAAAAATAATTTGGAAGTTGGCTATCCCGGAGAGGCTCCGTGGTTTTCTATGGCTCGCCGTGCAAGACAAAGTGACAAACTGCTCACCAATGCTAACCGAACCGCTAGACATCTCACCATCGGCGCTTCCTGCCATGCTTGCGGTGCTCATGAGGAATCTTTAATTCATATTATGCGAGCGAGACTGCTCTTCAATGCGAAACCTATGGAACTCCTTTCCTCAAGAGCTCATATCCCGTGATTTTTTTGAGCTTCCTCTTCGAACATGGATCTTACAAGGAATCTCTTCCAATGGCCTATGTCCGTTGACTCAAGGCCCTTGGTGTCATCTTTTTGTCTCAATCGTTTGACAATGCTGGAAGAGACGCAATGCTCTTGTTTTCTGCAACAATAAGATGGATACCCACTCTCTCCTTCAGCAAAGCTTATATTGGGCGAAGGCTCGAAGCTCTACAACCATCCGATTGCTCCCAACCGACAAACACCCCACCTTTTCCAGAGCTGATTTCTTAGCAACCACCTCCTTTCGGATGGATTTGCATTACTACTGATGCGGCCGTTTCACGTAACTTTGGGTTTGGTTCTATAGGTGGAAGTATACGGGATCGTGAAAGCCGTCACATTCTCTCCTTTTCGAAGAAGTTGGGGATATCGTCTGTCCTCAATACCGAGCTATGGAGTGTTTTTGAAGGCTTCAATCTTGCATGGGATCATGAATATGAACGTGTCATTATCCAAAGTGACAATGCGAATATGGTAAAGCTTCTTTCTCAACCTTCACCCGAAGTCCACATTCCATTGTGTGTGCAATTGCTTCTCTTCATGACAAAGATTGGTCGATTGAATTCAAGCTTATTCGACGTGAATCTAATATGGTTGTTGTTTTATGTTCAAATTAGAAGTGAACTCGAATGCATGCCTATCTATTTTCTCTGATCCTCTGCCCGGCTTGGGCGCTCCTTTATGTAGTGACTTTTGTCCATATTTTCATTAAAAAATAAATACTAAAGATATTATACATCACAACGATCATAACATTATGAATCAACAACGTAAGTGATCAAAATATAATTTTTAAATCAATAAGCGAAAATAACAAAACTGACCATTTTAATATTCCACCCTTTTAATTTTTGACATTTAAGCCTTTCATTTATTAATCATTATTGTTATTCAAATAAAATTATTAATTAATATTTAAAAAAGAGTTAAATTATTTTTTAATAAAAATATTAAAATTTTAATAGTTTTGAAGTGGTAACCCACGTATATTTTATATTATAGTATAAAATTATTTATCTTATATGTTACATCGATAAATAATTAAAATTATAAAAAAATTAAAAAAAATTCAAAATATATTATACTTTTTAAAAATATATGAAAAATACATATGTCAAATATTAAAAAGTCATGAAATATACATGAATTATTGTGTGAGATTTTATATTAATAATATTAACAATTTAATATTTTAATTAAAAACAACTCAAAAATTTTTAACTGTTGAAAACCAAATTTTATTTTTAGATACTAAACATTAAATTTAACTAAAAAACCAGATGACAAAATGAATAAACATTAAATGTTAAATTTAGCATTATATTTTTTAAGATAAAGAGAGTAAATATCATGTTATAAAATACAATTCATAGACTTAAAATAGTGTCTAATAAAATTATAATAATTCATTAGTCAAACAGGATTAATTTAATTGTTTGATATTTTAACATCATAATAATTATTTAATTCTAACTTTAATTTGGGTCTAATATAACTACTAAATATTGATTTCAATAATTAGTTTAATATGACTATTGAATATTAAAATAATTAGAAAATTTGTGATTTTTTCTATTTATAGAATTTTTTTAATTAAAATTTTATTACCCAAAATCAACCTGTACAGCAACAAGATACAAAAGAATCAGAGTGAAGTAGTAGTGATCAACAACACAAAAACAAAGATCACCCTATATTCCAATTCCTAGAAAGAGTAATATTAACATTATCATTGCTATTGAATTTCCTATTGCTTAAGTGCAGTCAAATTATATCTCTGATGTCATGGAATAATTCTT